TTATTTTAAAAAAAATTCAAAAGGAGAACAGCAATGTTCAAAAGTGGCATTTTTATTATTGAAATCTGGGAGTAATTTTTGTCACTGTGAATTGGATTCCAGCGATATAGGTGGACTTTAAAATCATTAAGTAATCTGTCCATAGGTTCTAGGAATTTGATATTATTTGGGTAGGGCAACCAACCACCCTTATATTTTACAGGCAGTTCAACCCATGGTTAAACTTAGCTTTTCATTGGAAGTCTTGCTTCAGTGTGAGGATGAATAGCCTGGCAATTAACTGTTAAGTGGAAAGGAATTGTAAAATGAAGAATGGGCCATCTCACATTTCACATTGTTCTGCAATGATTGTGTGAACTACCAAGAAAGGTGAACCTTCCTTATACTGTACTGAAAAAAGAACCAGGAGGGAAATACCTTTCTCTGCCAACACCTTGTACTTCATGCATGCTTCCCAATCTACATCCACAAGCAAATAATTGTGAAAGTTGAATTTGTCCCAGTCCAAAAGAGAAGACTGAGCTACAGAAACATTTTTATAATCTCTATGTAGGCTGACTGATTGTGTTGATCTTCAATATCCACGTTAAGACAACTTTTTATGCTGAGTTAATTTATTTCAGGACAAGCACCTAAGCCTCTTACATTTTTCAGAGAGACAGACAAGGTCATAGATATTTTCAAATAGTGGCAAGCCAGGAAAAAAATATTTGTAACCTCAAGATACCCTACAAGGCTGCCTGCCAGAATTTGGCTTGGATAGACCTGGAAGTGAAGTCTCTACAACATTTCCCATGACCCAATACAGATGGGGGAGGTGTAACAATTTTTCTTGGCCACTGGATTTGTTGTGGCTGTAACAAATATTTTGGCACTCTCTCCTATCTAATTGCCAGTAAAAATATAAGAGATTTACCACTTAGAAAATGACAGTGGAACACAAATCAATTAAACAAAGGGCATTCATGCTGTAAACCTATTCTGAAAACTAAGACAAAGGGTTGTCCTGAGCAATTTCCATAACAGGACTTTCCTTCACTTTTTTAATTGCTCATGTCAAAGTGGTAAACACCACATTCAAAAATCAATGTTAATTAGCCTGAAAAAACGTGGGTAATTTTTGTTCTTCTCTTTAAAGGAACACAAAATGTTTCTGAAAATTCTCCTAGGCTAGGGTGTAGTTTCTTCTATGCTTTTGATTTATTGTGGTTCTTGCTTCATCCACTTTTCTCATGAGATTTCTAACAAATGATAACCACACATTTTCCCAGCTTAGAAAATGAGATGGAGGTCAGACAAGAAATATTAGTTCCCTTAATAAATGAGGTTACCACTTTTCTTTCTTTCAAATAATGTAATAGTTGTCACATCAATGCTATTTTTTCAACAAAAAGACCTACACGTTGTGGTACAGATGTTCTTTAATCATGTATATCAGGTACAGAAAGAATACCGTAAATTTGGAACCAAATGGAGACAAATAGTTGGTGTGTGTTTGGAAAAGATGTGTTTTTCTACTTTTTCTGTACCTAAAAAACTCCACCTAATTCTGTATCATGTTACCAATTATGTCCCTGCTTTCTCACTCCTAACTTCTTCTTTTTTAAAAGATATGGGTCAGGTGGTTTGCTTTTCATTATTTCATTTTGGTATTTTCTTTAGATTATTTTGAAAAGTGTAAATTGCTGAATGTTGATTGGGTAAAGCTGGGAACTACTAAATCTTTTTGGTAGACATGCTTTAAAATAGAAGAATGCTATGCACTAATTTCTTCTACTACTGCTCTTCAGGAATGACATGTTAGATATTTTGCAAATGCATTTGCTGCAAAAAAAAAAAATCCACACAGCTTACACACATCTAGATGTTTCCCTAAATACATTTAATTGAAAAGACAAATGCTACCCAAATTAATTCTACCACAGTAAGAAATATGGCTTCCTCATTTTCTCTACATTATGGACATCTGGAAGGCATGAACCATAAAAGCAATGTTACAAAAACATCTGTTTGTAACTGTGTAGTCCAATGTGATTAGGTGATTGCATTGTTTAGTATGTTAACTCCCTTTCCCGGGAGGCAAAACAGTTTATGTCCCACATTACATTTCGAAAGCTCAGCCAAAACTGTCTTTATAATGGTGGTAGTGGAATGCTGACTTCCTTTGGGCAAGCATTAATATTAGCCCATACTCTATGCAATCCAAAAGCAACTTTGCAGAATTTAGTTTTCCTGTTTCACTACTAAACTTCTATTCCAATGTTTCATGACATTTGCTTGTTCTCAGACTCCAATAACCTCACACCTGGGAATTCATCTGACAGTCGGAAAAGACTTACCAGTAATAAAAGACCTGCGTCTTTCTAAGCTAAATTATCAACCCAGCCAGGAAACACAATGAACAGCAATAAGTGTTCTATTTCCTAGACAGGGGTGAAACTCAGCAGGTTCTGACAGGTTCTGGAGAACCAGTAGCAGAAAGTTTGAGTAGTTCTGAGAACCGGCAACTACCACCTCTGGCTGGCCCCAGAGTGGGGTGGGAATGGAGATTTTGCAATATCCTTCCCGTGGAGTGGGGTGGGAATAGAGATTTTGCAGTATCCTTCCCCTGCCACACCCACCAAGCAGTGGTGGGATACGACCGATACGCCCTGGGACAGGCGTACCGGTGACTGCTGGAAGCACAAGGTACCATTCCAGAACAGTACTCCTGAGAGTCCACCCACCCGCTTGCTCTCCTTACCTCTATTTGATCTGACCGGGGCATTTGCACACACACACGGAACGTATAGCGCCTGTGCGAC